AGGCAAGTTCAAAGCTCCATTACATCCACTATTCATATCTTTGTACTTAGACTTTAAAAGAAATCATGAGCAGGAAAAGTGCAAGCTAAAATATTGTATTACATAACATTATTGCTCTTCTTGCTGATGCTTTGCCCAGATTCAGCTAGGAGCACTGTATGTCTGGAAACAGGTACTCTGTGCAAGTTGCCTGTAGCTGGATCATGTGCTCTGTCAGATGCTGACCATATGATCCCTCGTCTGATAAAGTAGCCAGTACCTGGAGGTCTTTTTTTAAAACCAAAGTGCAAGCTGGATTAATTACCCCTCTTCTTTACTGAACAAACAGGATGTTAACTTTTCATAAAGAACTCTCCTTTTGCAAGCAGTGCTACACGCGTGTGAAGTCCAAGCAGCGAGTTCATCACTTCTGGGTGAACTTGTTGCTTGAACTTCACATGCACACAGTGCCCGCTTGCAAAAGCCATTTAAATGGAATTAAGCTCAAGACAATGCATCTACCATTCCAGGGGAGGGTGGGGTTTGTGGGGGAGAGGAACCTCAATGAGGTACAATGCCATAGAGCCTACCCTCCAAAGCAGCCATTTTCTCCAGGGGAATTGATCTCTGTTGCCTGGAGATCAGTTGAAATCCCAGGAGATCTCCAGCCCCCACCTGGAGGCTGGCAACCCTAGTTGCCGGCCAGGCCATGTACCACAGTGACCAGATCTTTTCTTTTCCAGGAAGGACCATAGGTGGCTAATCAGTCAATGAATTGAGACCTAAGTTTCCTGTCCCCTGTGGGGGAGGAGCTGGCATGCCCACATGGAGCCTTGAACTGGCTTGGCTGGTTGCCTGTGAGTCCCCCTGCAGGAAAAAAGCCCCTTGAGTTCATTTTAAGTTTTTTTGAGGTGGGGGGTTGGGGGAGGGGGAAGGAGCTGGCTTCCACATGGAGGCTTCTGCCTGCCTGGCTGGCTGGCTGGCTGGTGGTGAGTCCAGGGGAGAGAAACACCCCTTGAGTTTGTTTTGAGTGTAATTTTGAGATCTTTTAAAAACTAATTTGGTGCCACAAAGCTAGCTTCCTTCCTTCCCCATCTTATTTACTTTTTTTCTGGTTCTGCTGTGTGAGTTGGTGGATGCAGACCACTGGCATTGGCTTGCATCTGCCTGCTTCATGTAGGATGCACAACAGCCAGGTGGAGGAGGGGAGGGGTGTCCATTCTACCAAAAACAAGAGTGTTTGGGTCTTTCTGTGAGTTTGAGGACAGGAACTAGCGCTGAAGTGAGATTGGAAAAGAGTATGTAGCTTTCTGAAAATCCTTGAAGAGGGAATAAGTTTGTTCTTGGAAGGGGCAGAGCAATATGGATCCCCTTTTCCATTTCTAACAGATTGCCCATTGGAAGCAATGGGAAACACTTGAAGGCCCATTGGAAATAATGGGAGCTAGGAATGCCAATTGACTGGCATTGGCTCCATTGAAATACATTACAGTACAAGTAAAGTTGCAATAAAAATGTGGAATGGATTTTCCATTAGGGTCTCTGGGCCCAAATACACTACTCTGGGACTGGAATTGAGAGCCCACTGAGTGGAATGACAGCCCCAGGGTGTAGCAGGAGTGTTCAAGGACTGGAATGAGAGACCAAGGAGTGGAATGACAGCCCCAAGGTGAAGCAGGAGTGTTCTGGGACTGGGATGACAGGCCACAGAGTGGAATGACAACCCCAGGGTGGAGCAGGAGTGTTCTGGAACTGGAATGAGAGGCTACGGAGAGAGACCACGGGGCTCGCCAGCTCTGAGTTGGGAAATACCTGGAGATTTTTGGGGTGGAGCCTGAGTGGTGGATGTTTCAAATTAATGAGGTAAAAGCTGATAGTGCTAAGATAAATGGGGCTCAATGCACTTTTTGAGCAGATGCACACAACCCATGTTAAGTGGACAGTGTAAATAAGAGGATTTTCTGGTGCTTAGAATTTTTGTAACAAGCAGTATCACTTTCCAAAATATTTCAAGCTTTTTACTTCCAAATTTGTATGCTTCAGATTGCAAAAAACATCTGAGGAAATAAAAATCTATTTATTTTGACAAAAATTTTTTACTGAGCTGAAACATTTCAGGCTGGGCTTCTTTCCCCATTTGTAATCATCATTTGTTTGTATTTCACAGAATGCGTTGTTGATGGAGGAAATACAGTTGCTATATTCACTATTGACATAGTTAGAAGCTGCTATATGTCACATACTTGAAGTTTATATTAAGAAATGAAGCATTTTGCTTTTTGTGTGTGTGTGTATATAGATCTACATACATACATAAATATATGGAGGGAAAGCATTCACAGAGGCATACTTACGTGCTCAAAGTCTTAATTCTCCAAATAAATGTCAAAGTATGTGATTCATATGTTTTGTACCATATGACCACAGCTGCTGGTGATGCAGGAAAGATACACAAATAGAAACTGAAAGTGTTGTGTAAATAAAATTTTTATAAATAGGGGTTTATTTTTATATTGTTGGCATTCAAGCATAAGTAATGGTGTTTCTTGTAGCGTAGCCTTTCAGGAAGAGTCAGTTTTAATAGGCAAATCTATAGAAATTTTATATTTCTGATATATTCATATGAATTATTTTGCAAGACAGGGAAGATGATAATGCAACAAAAATAAAATCCCAGGTATCGAGAAGGATTATCAGTGATAATTCAGGTACCAGTTTCCATTACAGCAGATTCAGGATCTTGAGATCTGGAAATCATGTTGCACCTAGTCTCTGCTTTGTTCCTGGATAGGAAGGTTTTGATAGTGGCCAGGAGTAGGTGTGTACACACACACAAAAAATCCTTCAAGGTTTTTTGAATTCAGATATATTGGACCCCCCAAAATTCAGGATTCCTGAAAAAAACTGAATTCCAATATGAGTACTGTATTCAGATTCAGGTTGTTGTTTTTTCCCAGAAACCCGCTTTTTTCCAGCTCCATTATAGCCTGTAGAACCATTATAGTCAATGGGGAATTTATCTGGGGGTATCCAGGGGTCTGGAGGGCTGTTCTTTGAGGTAGAGGCACCACAATTTCAGCCAAGCTTTTAGTGCCTCTCCTCAAAAGGCCCACCAAGTTTAAAAAAGATTGGACCAGGGGGTACAATTCTATGGGCCCCAAAGAAGGTGCCCCCATCCTCCATTGTTTCCAGTGGTGGTGGTGGTGGGGAAATAGCCCAAAAAAAAAAGGACTGATGTCAAACAAGAGAGTCTCTGCAGTATAAACTGAAGATGGAGGGATTTTTTCCAAGCCCAGCAGAACCAGTCCATGTAAAGAGTGTCCAGCAGAACCAGTGTCACTGTGGCAATGCCAGTTCAACAGATACAAGCGAGGAGTGCAAGCACAGCACAGACAGTGCATGCACAGAGTGCCCAGCAGAGCCAGTGCATTTACAGAGTGCCAAAAGGTGCCCTCGTCCTCCATTGTTTTCAATGTGGGGAAAATACTGGGTTTTGCTAGGCACCAGTACATTGCACTGGTACAGCTCAGCACTCTGTACATGGACTTAGGGGGGGAACCCTTTGCTTGGATTTGTTAGCTGGCATTGCCACAGTGGCATTGGTTCTGCTGGGCACTTTGTACATGCACTATCCATGTTAGGCTTGTAAAAAACAACAACCCTTTTCTTAGATTTGTTGAGCTGGCATTGCCACAGTGGCACTGGTTCTGCAAAAATGCCCCCCAACCTTCAGTTTCTACTGCAGAGACTCTTTGGTTTGACATCAGTCCCTACTTTTTTGCAGTTCCCTCCCCCCTCCATTGGAAAACATAGAGGATGGGGGCACCTTCTATGGGGCCCATAGAATTGGAACCCCTGATTTTTACTCAACACATAGCAATCATTTGAGATACTGGACCAGCATTTAAGCATTAACGGTTGCCATTTCTCTAAAAGACTGGATTGACCTGAGGTGTTTTTGAACTTATCTAAATTTTATGTAATCGTATATAAAATAAACAAATCCAGTAACTTTAAGTTCCATTCTTGAAGCAATGGGATTGAAGTAGACTTCCAATGTGATGCTATAATCATTTTAGCAGCAATTAACTTTACCATAATTAGTTCTAGTTTTGTTTTGGAGATGTTATCAGTGTCCCACAAATTAAGAAGTATCAGTTCTGGGGTTAGGAGAATCAAATGACCGTTATAATATGTATTGGGTTCTGGATTTGGGACCAGAATGTACCTGGCATCATGGTTCTTTTAAAGCATTTGTGAAATTGCAGCTTCACCTGGAATGGCATTTAAAGGGAGTGCACTCTCTTTAAATGCCGTTTAAACATGGCTATCCTGTTTTCCCAGATAATCCCGATTTTTGGGAGGGGGGGGAGTATCCAGGATTGACTATGCTTGAAAGACAAAAACACCCCCCCCCCTATCCAGATGAAAGAATAGCTGATAAATGACAAATTTTCTGGCTATTTTTTTGACTTGGATAGAGCCAAATGCACACCCCTAGCCAGGAGTGAATTTTATCTATTCTTGTTTGTACATGCTACAACCTTTTCTGGAGAGGACAGATCCATCATGCTATTTAGTTTTGTTACCTTTATTTTGTCACATGACTATTTTGATGCTGGGCAGCCCTTAAAGATGAGTTGGTATCTCTGACTGCTCACTTCTTGCCAAACATCAGTAAGATATCACTGGCTGCCATTCTCTTCCTGCCCAATTCAAGGGTGTGATGCTTCATTTCAAGTTCTTCACTGTCCACTTGAGCTCCCTTATTCTTTTTTTTTTTTGCAGGCTAGATCCTGTTTCATGAACTAAACACATATGCAACAAGAAGAGACTTTTGTTGCAACTGTTGGGCAGATATTTTTGTGTGTGCTGTCTGAGTGAAAGAGAGAACAATTTCATCTGAACAGATGGGCTTTAAAATTTATAAAAATCATTACAGCTCATCAGGTTTCTTATTTTCTGTATGTAACCTTATTCAGATTCCATGTGTTCTAACTGGTCTCTGTTTTGCTCCATAGGAGAAGCCTATATGAGACTCAGCAGATTACCTGAAGCAGAACATTGGTATGTGGAATCACTACACTCCAAAACAGACCATATCCCAGCTCATCTTACGTATGGGAAACTTCTAGCTTTAACGGTGAGTTATCCATGATCAAAAAAGCAATACTGTTTTGAGAGGAAAAATTCCTGTTGAGCATTCTCCTAGTTCAGCCATATTACTCACTAGGAATAACGTACATTGTGGAAATAAATACAATGAACTCTACAAAGATGCTCCAGGTGGGTGCCTTGGCCTTGAGCACTCAGTATCAATTTGCTGTGGTGACCTCAGCAGGGTATAATGACACTGAGTCCACCATTTTCTCCAGAGGAACTGATCTCTGCTACCTGAAGAACAGTTGTAATTTTGAATGATCTCCAGCCCCCACCTGGAGATTAGCAACAATGTTTCCCCAGGAGGGACTGGCTGGTTTGGTGTGTGGAGGCTATGGCATTGTACCTGTCTGAGGTCCCACCCCTCCTCAAACCCCACCCTCTCCAGGCTCCACCCCTCAAATCTCCAGGAATTTCCCAACCTGGAGTTGGCAAACCTATATCCTTCCCAGCCAACCATCAATCTGCCTTGAACTGCCCCTCTGACTTTAACTTTCCATCTCCTCCCCCCTCCCTCCTGGGGAGCAGTTGTAATTCTGAGTGATCTCCAGCCCCCACCTGGAGATTAGCAACAATGTTTCCCCAGGAGGGACTGGCTGGTTTGGTGTGTGGAGGCTATGGCATTGTACCTGTCTGAGGTCCCACCCCTCCTCAAACCCCACCCTCTCCAGGCTCCATCCCTCAAATCTCCAGCAATTTCCCACCTGGAGTTGGCAACCCTATCTCCTTTCCAGCCAATTATCAATGTACCTTTATTTTCCCATCACTCTTCAGCTTTCCACGCCTACACACCTGCAGCCTCTACCGTGCTCTGAAGCCCTGACTGCCACGTCACATTGGCTGCCATACAGGGGCCATCTCAGCAGGATATAAGGAGTCCACCATTTTCTCCAGGGGAACTGATCTCTGCCATCTGGAAAGTACCTCAGAACACGATACTAAATGTATTTTATCTCAGAACAGCAACCACAAACTGTTTAGAATGTTAGAGGCAAAGGCCAATCAGGCCACATATACAAATGACCTCTCTGTTCTGACTGGCTATGGGGGGGGGGGAGAGGAACAGCAAACTGCTTAGAATGTTGGAGTCAGGACTCAGGCAACGCAGCCAGTGGATAGGGATAGGGAGACCCTCTGAGTGACAGATCAGGGAACCAACTGATTTTGGAGCATGTTCGAATGTTCAGGGGAGTCCATGACCAAAACAGAATTATATATATAAGGAAAGATACTTATCTGGGTAGTCAGAAGGGCATTTTCCCTGTTAAGTCAACCATCAAAGATGTCATAACTAATTAAATCCCTGTCAAATTTGACTGGGTAGTAGTCAGTTTCCCAACTTAGTCACCAAACATTTTCCACAAGGCCCACCCTACTTATCTAAACCATCCTGTTCTTAACACAGCCCTTCCAGGGCATGAGGAGGAGGTATTCCTTTCACACCACAAAATGGGATAGTAGAGGGAAAAACACATGTGTTGCTTCTCTTGAATCTGGCTCCTGAAAGAAATGTATTGACCCTCCTGTGGAATATTGGAGATATTTTCAGGATGAGCAGTGCTTGTCCTGTCTTTCAAGAGTCTGGTTGATAGCCATCCACTGGTAGGCAGGAATTTTGAAGGTTTTATTTCCATTGCAGCTTGTCCCCCAAGGGATGCACTCTGTGTCTTCCCATAGGAAAGAATGACAGTTATCCAAGTATATGGGAGAAGGAATGTATTCAGACATTCCGCTTGTGTAGGAGCTAAAACCTGGTAATGGTAATACTTGGAATGGAATTAGATCTTGTACACTTTCTTAGAATTCAGTAGTGTGTGTTTTTAAAAGAAAGCCCACTTAGATCTGCATAGCTCTATCTAGGATAAATTGTGACATAATTACTATTAGTTTATCATATGGGTGATATATTTAGATATTAACAGTGTATTTAGCTATTGGGGCTTCCGGTCTGGCTCCCGCGCATGGCGGACGCTTCCTCGGGTCGCTCCCGAGGGCGCCTCGCCCGCCCGCGGTGGAGGAGGGAATCCGCGCGAGCGGAGACCCGAACGAGCCCCTCAGAAGAGAGGAGCTCGGATCCGGGGCGCTTTAGGGCGCACTAGGGGGGAGTCGCTCTTTCGGCCGAGAGGTCGGAGAGCGAGGCTCCCGCCATGCCCTGCCCCAATGGACCTTGCTGCGTGAGCGACCCCGAACGGGGTTTAGCGGAGCCACCAGACGTCACCGAGTGATAAAGCGACCATCCGCAAAAATAGAAAAAGACCCCCCTCCCAGCGAAAAAGGCGAAGAGGTTAATCCTCCATTTATACAAGCGAAAAAGAAAAGGAGGGGGGGGATGAATTGAGCGGACAGTGATGTTTTCCTTTGATGTATTTGAAAGCGAGAAACTTGTCTCTCTGGAGCACATTTTAAGAACTTTCTAAAAGTAAACAAAAAAGAAAAGATGTCGGAGCTGGGCAAAAGCGAGCGGAGAAGGAGGGAGGGACTTCCGTCTGGACGTTTGTTTGTGTGTAAGAGCCGGCTGTTGAATGTTTGGACTGTTTATGGCTGTGAATCCGACGGGAGTTTTGCAAAAAAGATAAGTTGGAATTGTGACAGCGAGAAGTGCCTGATAAGCGCTTATAAGTCAACAATTGCGAGGAGGACCCATAGAGAGTTTGGGAGCGAATATAAAAGCGAAAATGAAATTGATACCATTCTCGAAAATGGGGACCTCCGGGGCATGAAAGGAAGAGGATTTATAGTACATGAACTGAGCGTATTAACAACAACCCGAAGGAGGATCTAACAAGCCGGAAAGAGAAGACAACAGACGAAGCTCCTCCACGTCAGCGATAGTGAAAATACCCAGCACGCAAAGGAGCGGTTCTGAATGTGCACAGAAGAGACCCTTTTTATTAACAGAATCTCAAAGGAACATTACTAACATATTAACAGAGAATACATGTAACAGGACTAAGAAAAGAAGTTTGGCAACACACAGAAGAAGCCCAAGAAGATTAATTGGACACTACTAACAGTTTAATTTACCAATTTATATATCACTCAGCTTTCTCTTTCTCCCACTATCTACCCCTTCCTTTTTTTCTTTTAAGCGAAATACCTCCCCTTTTTAGGGGAGCCAATAAAACCTTTATTAAAAAAAAAACAGTGTATTTAGCTATTATTCTTCCTCTGTGTGAGATTACGTGATTTCATCCTGCAAAATATGGTAGAAGGAGAACCTTGTATACTACAATGATCTTTCTGGAGGAAGGAATAATAGATGGAAAGACAGATGGGATAGTGACATGACACAGTGAATTTCATGGCCAAGATGGCATTTCAGCTTCTTTCCACCCTGGTACCGTACTTTAGAGCTGCAGTGGCTCAAGTGGTTAAGACGCTGAACTGCAGGCTGTGGAAGGTCAGTAGTTCAGCAGTTCGAGACCCGAGTGCCGCATGACGGAGTGAGCTCCCATCTCTAGTTCCAGCTCCTGCCAACCTAGCAGTTCGAAAGCAAGAAATTGCAAGTAGATAAATAGGTACCACTTCGGTGGGAAGGTAACAGCGTTCCGTGTGCCTTGGTGTTTAGTCATGCCGGCCACATGACCACGGAAACATCTTCGGACAGCGCTGGCTCTTCGGCTTTGAAACAGAGATGAGCACCGCAACTCTAGAGTCGGATTCGACTGGCTTTCGAGCAAGGGAACCTTTACCTTTACCGTACTTTAGCCACTATATTGCATTGGCTCTTAGTTTGAACTACACTGGAATGGAAAGGAACAGAATGGTATTGTACTGGTACAGCTCTCTCAAGTGACAAATCGGCAGGGCAGGTCACGGGCAAGGTTGCAAAGAGTAACCAGGGTTCAGTCCAAAAGTCAAGGGTTCCAGAGAGCAGGTATGCCAAGTCCAATCTAGGGTCAAGGAATCCAGACAGCAAGTCCAAGTCCAGTACAAGGTCAGGGGTTCCAGAAAACCTGATAGTCAGGGCCAATCCAAGGTTCAAGGTTCCAGTAGTCTGGTAACAGCAAGGTCAGTGGTTCAGTAGCAATGTGTATTTGTTGCATCCACAAAACTGCTGCTTCTCCCAGCTGATTTTATAGCCAAGTATTAATGAACTACACTTCCAGCCCATTCCTTGGCAGCCATCCTGAAACTACTCATCCATCTTGTCAGCTGACAGTTGACAATGAACCATGAGTCTCGCACTCCTCCTATCCTGCAAGTCTGTGTGCCTCTGACAGCATCGGCACTGCAGGGGGGTGGGTGAGCTAGGTGGGCTAGGAGTGGCTTCTGAAGACTTGTTTACTGCTTCAGAACTATAAGGTGTTGGCTTGGTTTCAGCTGTAGGCTGTGACTTCTGATCAGCTGGTAACCTGATCTCTTGTTGATGGCTGTTGTTGTTGCTCTTGTTCCTGGCACAGAGCCAGCTGCAGCCAGTTGTTCAATTACTGGTTGAGGTCTAGCTGCAGGCAGGCCTTCATCTGAGGAATCTGTGCTGTCACTGAGCACAGACTGACTTACGATAGGTATATTCTGCTTATATAAGTTTGTTATACAAGAAGATGGCATCTAAGCCTTAATTAAAAATAAACTGCACCAAAATTTTAAAATTCAAAAGACCTTTAATTAGATTTGTGTATGCTTGATATAATTGTGCAATAAATATCATGATTACACATCATTTGATTCTCTTTTTTTGTAAGTGTAGGTTCAGTACTAGAGCACATGCTTTACATGTATTGTAGTTAAAAGATATCAGGCAGCAGTGTTGGGAAAGATCTTTCTCTGCCTTAGCTCCCTGAGAACCCCTGCTGTGCCAGAGTAGAAAGTGCTGAGCTAGGGATCAGTTGGATCTATCAAGACAGCTACATCTGTTTATATAAGCTGGCTTTGTACAACGGCAGTCTGTATCCAACCACACATTCCATAGACTTAAAGGCATTTAAATTTTCTTCAGAGGCAGCTGTGATTTCTGCCAATTTCCCTCCTCTCACTACAGAC